TATCTACATATTTTGAGGAATAATACAAATGGTGACAAAGAATGCGTCTTTAATCTTTCTTTTCAGGTTTGAGCACATTCTATTTTTTGGAAAGGGTCAGCTTTGTATATTTGAATTATTAGCTTTTCAAAACTCTTGGCTCATTTATACTTCACTAATGGTTCTAATGAAGACGAAACAAATTCAGCTACAGATGGATGGCTTTTCCAGGATTATCTGTGTTAGTTCCATGTCACACAGCACATGGAGCTTCATCTGTGTTACTCAGGCTCGTTACCTTCTTGTAACTATTGATGTGCTGTTTTTCCAGTCTGCAGGATCCAGAGGAGGCCCGGGACCAGTTTCATCTGGCCAGACTTAACTGCAAGAAGTTTGCTTTTGTGCACGTGGCTTTTGCACAGTTTGAGCTGGCACAAGGTGTGTAGAAAAACTTCTTTGGTGGTGCTGTTCTGTGTTCTAGCTTTTGTTGTTTTAAACTCCTCTGTTACATAGTTTGCAAGAAAACTGATAAGTATTAAATCAGAAAAAAGAAAAACCTGGATTTTCTTTTTTATTGTAATTTAATGAGACTGTGTGTTCATTTTACAATGAAAATACGTGCACAGTTCTTAATAGGTTTTTTCCTTTGTAGAAATAGCTTTCAAACAGGATGCAAATTAGCAGTGATTTCTGGTTTGTTTTTCTAAGCTTAGAACTTACAGTGGGAGGAATGAATAAGGCTCTTGCGATATTGAAAACTGATGCTCAAACTTAAGTGGTAATTTTAAATCATAGAATGGTTTGGGTTGCAAGGGATCTTAAAGACCATCCAGTGCCACCCCCTGCCCTGGGCAGGGACACCTCCCACCAGACCAGGTTGCTCCAAGCCCCATCCAGCCTGGCCTTGAACCCCTCCAGGGATGGGGCAGCCACAGCTTCTCTGAATAATTTCCCTTTAGATATTTTAAACTTGCTTGTGGAAGAAATTCTGGCTCTTTCCAAAAACCAACTGTAGATTTTCTGTGGGTTATTGTTAGACCAAAAGATGCTGTAAATGTGCAAATTGGTCCAATTAAATTTTCTCTTCTGCCACTGAGGATCATAAGTAGTTAGCAATTGGATTTCAATCGACTCTTCTGTTTTCTGTTCCATTGTTGAATATTCCTGCTGGGACAGTGGAGATGGCTGATATTTGTTGGGGTCACTTGGGTTTATCACTTGGGGTATTTTTTGGTTTTTTTTCTTCATGTATTTAAACTCTATCTCTGAGGTTTTCTTGGTTTTGATCTTCCAGTTTTGCTCTTCGAGTTGACCCTCTAGATTATTTTATACTAAATGTTTTAATATATCTAGAAAAATAGGTCCTCAATACTTTGGACCATAGTGCATTGAGTCCACAAAGTTCACCTTCTCTTTGTAGGTCACTTCTTTCCTCTTGTGTGTAGGGAAGGTGGCACTGGTACTTGGTTTATAGGCAAAACCACTGCCTGTGGAAAGTCTAGTACTTTTTTTTGTTTTTACTGTTTTTTAGGATACAGTTTATATATCTAAACTGTGTCCCATGAAGCAGAGCCATTTTATTAAAGTCACTAAATACTCATTTGTCCTCTCAGATTGTCCAATTTTTTCTTAACTAATAAAACTAATGGAGCAGGAAAGGCTGTGGAAATCCCCCTCAGAAATACGTCAAATCAAATGATTGTTGGAGGAAAGATACTGAATAAGATTCTTCCATGGGATGGGGAGGAGAGGACAAAAAACTGCTTATCTGTGACTTGAAATTCCACAGTTTTTCTATTTCAGATGAGTCAGTTATCTGACTGGTCTTGTTCTGATATAAACTTGTTGCGTTGAACTTATAAACAGTAGTAAAAATAGCCAGTAATTTGTCTAGTGAGCACTTGTAGGCTTATTAAAAAAGATAATAAGACGGTTATAATGCAAGAATAAGTATATTGTCAAATAAGTGTAATAAAACCTGTTGTGTAATTTAAGTAGTGTAGAAATGCTACTGGTGGTTACCAATGACTGGATTCACCCTGTCACAATCACTTGTGAGTTTAATTACCCCATAGCTATGGGATGTGCTCATGCAATACTTTCTCTTTCTTTGGGAGTGAACAGTCAACCTGAACTGAAGTACTAATCCCAAATCAATAAGCCATTTACAATTGGCTTTATTTTAACTCTAATGTGCTCTCCTGATTTGTGTCTGATATCCTTGAGCTGGCTTATTTGACATTTGGTAACGTGGATGGAACTCCACTGGCCCATACACACGGGCCCAATTATAGAGGACTAATTAATGTGTGTATGTGCTTTGAGTGCTGCTCCTTTTTCACTGAGTGTGTCCAGTTTAGGCCAGAGGGAAAGGAGGAGGGTGGTGCTTTGTTACCTTCTCCTGAGCATTTCGGCATCGCTTCCGCAAACCAATTGCCTCTGGATTCATCTGTCGTTCCCTTTGCATTAAAAGAAAAAGTTAGTTATACATTCACTTCCCTGTCTTGATCAAAATTGTGAGCTAAAGCTCAAGTCAAAATTCTGGAATTACAGCTGGCAAATTGATACTGATTTCTTTATAAATTGAATATTTAAGACCTGAAAATAGAGTGACACAAAGATAGCATTCCGGTTTGGTTTTATTTCAATGCTGAATACAACTTCATTTAAAAAGGCCTGATGAGGAGCTATCTCTCCCTTGTGTAGTGTGCTTGGAGCAAGATTTGCTGTGAACTACTGAGGACTGACCATAAATAAAACTCTATTTTTGGCTATTTAGAATGTTATGTTTAAGTGGATTGTTCTTTTTGTATGTGATTGAAACTCACAGGTACTTCCAGCTTTGCTTTTATGCCTTTGTTCCTCATCTGGTAAAGGGGAATGGAGGTGTCCATTTTTTTACATCAGTGTTTTAATGTCATTTTATTTCTTATTCAATGAAAGGCACATAATATTAAGAGGAATTACTTTCATTTTGAACAGTAGGTCTTGTTGAAGCAATGTGTGGTTACTAAATATGGCCAAAGGCAGAATGCTGGGTTTCTTTAAAAAGGACTACCAGGTCTATCCACTTAGGGTTTGGGAGAAAAGCAGTATTTGATTATATGGTTAAACAAAGCATAACAAATATGTGCAAAATACACTTAAGTGAAATCATAGCTGATCTTATTTTGGTGTTTCCTTGCTTCAGTGTTCAACATCATCTAGTTAATATTCTTAAAATATTACTTAAGCATCAGTTCCTAATATCTACTCCCCACCTGCCCCAGTTTGAACTGCAGGGGCCATTGCCAGCTAACTCCAGTTTGAGCTTGGAGTGCTAGAGACATCATGGAGCTCCGAAATATACTAGTATATAGTATAGCAAATAATTATATATGTACATGGCACCTATAAAAACAAAGTGGTTTATGTTATGCTGATTTGGAACTGAGGAAGAAGGGCATTTGGGACTTAAGGGCATTAACAGCTCTAACAAAACATTGCATCATTTTGCCCTGATGCTCTCTAAACAAAGGAAAATGTTTTGGTTGCAGTACACTTCTTTCCTTATTTGACTATAAGGGTTTTTTTAATAATTGTATATGTACATGCTTATGTATGTAAACTGATTGCTTTCAGTGTATTTTTTTTAAAACACCCTCTTCCCTCCCAGTTCTCTTTAGTCTCTGTTTATGACATTTAGTAATGTGTAAAATTAATGTAGGGTTTTTTTACTAATTGTATGTGTACATGCTTATGTATATAAACTGATTGCTTTCAGTATATTTTTTTAAAATGCACCCTCTTCTCTCCCAGTTCTCTTTAGTCTCTGGTTATGACATTTAGTAATGTGTAAAATTAATGAAACAATATTCTTTCTTTTCAGTCTTTTCTTAAAGGTAGTACTTTCTGGAGTAGTGATGTTTGATTTGACAGCTGCTTTTAACTTTGATGTCTATTAAGTGCATTAAAGAAGTTTTACAATGCATATGTAAAAGTTTGTATCTAGTCAGATGTAAATGAAAGTCCATAAAGCTTATATTTCCTTGCTGATATTGCAGAAAACTGAATTTTAGAATTTGTGTTGTATTTCCTTACAGTTCCTATAGCATTAAACAAATGCTGTGAGACTGTATAAAGCATATTTTGTCACCTGGTTTTCAACTTTATGTGAAAAATTGACTTATGATTCACCTGTAGCTTGTTCCAGGCAGTATCTTGAAAGTAGATATTTAAGAGGGGGGGAAATGCCTCATGAGCAATGGCTTCACAGAACAGCATGAGTGTAATCATGTCTTTAAAAAAGACCACGTTGCCCCAGTATAATTTCTTATTTCCTTGATTTCTACTTCTGTGTTCCTTGCTGCTTAGGAAATATGAAGAAGTGTAAGCAGCTCCTTCAGAAAGCTCTGGAGTGCTCTGCTGTTCCACTAGAAATGTTGGAAACTGCTCTGCAAAACTTTCATTCACAAAAAAAGCAGTTGCTTTCAGACGAAGAGAAGGAGAACTTTGCAGGTAACTAAATTTGTTAAATTGTTAGAGTTGTTTGCATTTGTAATGCTTGATTGGAAAGTAAATATTCTGTAATGTTTATCCTTTCTAGTTATGCAAACTCAAAATTTGTTATTGTCTAATAAAAAAGCATATCTGTCTATATTCTCCATCTTATTCCCTCAACACTCAGTTCCATCATTGATGCAATGAATTTAGTTTGCAGGAGGCACAGGATGGTAGACTTTAATTCTGTTCCTCTGATGCATTAGGTCTTTCTCTTTCGTAATAGAGATTTCCAACTGAAAAGTGTGAAGAGCTGCTGGTGGTAGAGTTGAGTTAGAACAGAAACACACAGAGTAAGCCATATAGATTGCATACTAGTCAAATCTAGGAAAAAAATTTCAACTTCATATTTATTTGATGCTATAAATCCAGATGGATCTACAGAAACACAACTGAGGCGGCACAAAAGTTTTGTATCAAAATTAAATAGCACATAAATGAAGGCAGAGCCCAAAAGCTAGTGCTCGGCAGGAGGAGGACAGGACAGGTCAGGGGTCTTATCAATATCTTGGGTCTCTGCAGCAGCAGGGAGTTGTTAGGATCATTTAGACAGTTGTACCTCTAAGATCAGCAAAACCCAGCTTGTTTGAGAGTTGTTAATTTAGGATTTATTATAGTTATTCAGGCGTGGGCATTCTCATCACATAAGCTGATAAATAACTGAAATAAACAGAGAAAGAATCTGAATGTAAGAGGTTTTATATCTTGTGAGGAATCCTTATAGAGCAAGCTTCAGAAGGATCCTTGGATGATGCTGTTCTGGAGTGGAGGTGCATTCTGAGAGCGTAGATTTGGAAAATCCACTTGCTCTGAAAGCGTGGGTTTCTTTCTCACTCCCCCAAGATATTTAAACCAATGTTTTTGGTGCTTGTATTCCTTTTGTGCACATAGGATAAGGTAAGCGAGGTTTTTGAATTCAAAGTTAAATTCCTTGGATAGTCTTTGGACATCTTATCTTAGATAATTATATAAAATGTCTGTCTAGATCAATAGAAAATACTGATATATGTCAGTGACACTGGATTACTGCAAATGTATGTGTTTTTAAATCACGCTTATTGTAAAAGAACCCCTTGGCTTTTGAAATAGCTACAATCTGCAGTATTATCTGAATAATTCTAACTCATTTGCCTACAGTACCAAGTACACAAGAGTTTGGACTTCAGAGCATAGTTGGAAATCACAGAAGCATAAAAAGGAATGAATCTGGTGAAAACTCTTCTACTATTAGCAGACCTTTGCTTGGGTAATGGCTTGCTTTCTTACTTAATTTCTTAAAACATCATTTAAACAAAACCACACATACACACCACAGTGCTTTGGTTTTTTTTTCCTTTGCCTTCAGGGAGGAGAAACCACAGGAATTCGATGCCCTATTAAATTGCCACAATCCATTAAGACCACTAAACAAATCTAACCAGGTAGATTAAAACATGTAACATTTTGCTTCAAAAACTTAAGCTTTCCTTTGTTCTTTACAAGTGTGATAACTTTCAATTTCCTCTTAGGCCTGTCCTTTTGGGAGGGTTCCTGTGAAACTAGTCACTGATGATGATGATGTGAAGATCACAGATGTTCCTCTTACAGCCAGTGTTAGGAGGAGGTACGGTTACTGGGTTTGCTGCAGCACCACAGACATTAATACTCCTTTTCAAAAGTGTTATTGTTGGAAATATTGGTTAAGAATGTTAAAATTAATCTAAATATTATTGACAAATAGTCAACTGCACTAGGTATTGCAATAACCCACTTCCTATCTTATTACTCATCCTTAGTATGAGAGCAGTTTCTTGTTCTGGGTAATCAGTAGGCTCAAAAGAAATGGAGACTTAGGCAAAAATAAATTTTGCTCAAAATAACTTTACATTTATGTATTCCGGTTCCTAAAATTAGATATAAGGCAGTCTTGAAAGTTCCAAAACACTTTTCAATCCTCATTTTTAACATAACCTGTATGATAATGATTATATTAAGACAGTGGTTATACTAATTTTATTATGAATAATTGTTCAATATTGGAAGAATCTGCCAATTAAAATAGCACTTTGCTACCTCACCATAGCACAGCCTGAAATTAAACAGAGGAGAAAAAGCTTCCCTTTTCCCCAAGTAAAGTCTGTTATGCCAACTTTCTTCCTTTTTTTATTGCTGTGAAACTAAATTCACATGGAAATGGGAACTTGGGGGAGAAATATGTAACCAAAGAGTAAAAATTGCATAATTAACTTCTGAGAAGGTAACTAAAGCCCAATATTCTGAATCTGTTATTTCAGCAGGCAAATATCCAGCTCCAAATGTACAGCCTTCATTCCACCTTTTCCGCTTTCAGAACCAAAATCTAGTGGGGGTGATTCATACAACTTGGGAGACTTACAGGTAACTTAAGGTTTTTTTTTTTAAATGGATATAAGGAATTCTACCTGGCTGTCCTATGATATTAGAAAGGAAAATAATAAACTTTTTTTTCAGTTTAAGAAAGAAATAAGGTAGAATGTTTAATGTATGTTAAGTAATGGGTTGTGAATAGAAACATTCGTTGTGGCTTTTAAATTTGAAATTTGTTGAGCATGCTCAGGCATTAAGAAAGAGCTTTCTTCCACCTGATAGGAAAAATTGGGGGGGGAAAAGCTGTCATCTGATTATCCCCTCTTTATAAATCATATTTCATCTTGACTACAGGACCTCTTTCACTTGTGGCCATTAGTTTTATCATGGGAAGTATTCAATGAAGTTTTTTTAATTGGGTTCACCAATGCTCTGTGGATCTGTAAATTATGCCTTTTGACAGATGAATTTTGAGTGTGCCTTGCATTTTCATCTCCTGTGTCCCTGTTCCCCGAAAGAAAATTCAAGAATAGAAAGCATTTGTCTTTGAAGTTCCATCATACGGTTTCTGTAACAGGTTGTTGATGGATTTAAACATAGTAATAGTTGCCTGTGTGCCCTGCACTGTTTCCTGAAGCATATTTGCTTTGTGGCTTGTCATTCATTAATTATCATAAAAAAATATCTTTCAGACACTGGTTGGGATCTCCTTTGATTCTTCTTAAGATGCTTTTTGGTTTTTTTTTTAAATTGCAGATGTTGGATGAGAACAGCTTAGAAAAGGCTACCGATTCCACTGTAACTCTCAAACCCAAAATGGATACGAGTTTGGTGCTGAAAAGAGAAGGTAACTATTAATATGTGATGTTTTAGTAGTCTGAAATAGAATAACCATTGAAAATTTGCCGTTCTGTAGTTTAAAGCAAATGCATTGCTAAAGAAAATATTCTTCAAAAAGTGAAAAACTTGGTCTGCCGGGGAATTGAGGAGCATTAAATTAAAATTTGGCTTCATATGGTAACCATGCTAGTTTATAAAACAAAGTGTGTGCTGGCAGAGAGGAATTCAAACTAAGGATTATAATGTTCTGGAGGGGGAGTCTTTAGATTTTGAGACATACTCAAATTATAGCAGTTTTTCTCCTGTGCCTTTCCTTGAATATGCTCCTTGTTTACCCTAGAGATGCCATAGCTCTCATTTTTTTTGTTGACATTTAATCTGGGATTGTTTTGGTTGAAGTAAGTTTAAAAAGGGGACACCACGACATCGTCTTGCACTTGATAAAACGTGCAAATCTCCCAAAATGCTCTCTGAATGCACAACATCCCCATCCTCTGTTGCTTTCAGCATCTTCTATTAGTACATGAAGCTTTAGCTTTTTCTGCTGATGTTTGTGTTGGACTATTTGTCATATTAGTATTGGATAACAGTGCTAGTTTATAAAAAAAAGTGTATGTTGGCTGAGAGAAATTCAAACCTACGGATTGTAATGTTCTGGAGGGGGAGTCTTTAGATTTTGAGACATACTCAAATTATAGCAGTTTTTCTCCTGTGCCTTTCCTTGAATATGCTCCTTGTTTACCCTAGAGATGCCATAGCTCTATTTTTTTTGTTGACATTTAATCTGGGATTGTTTTGGCTGAAGTAAGTTTTACTAGGTATTGCCATAACCCACTTCCTATCTTGTTGCTCTGATTCTTAGTATGAGAGCAGTTTCTTGTTCTGGGTAATCAGTAGCCTCAAAAGAAACAGGGACTTAAGCAAAAATAAACTTTGCTCAAAATAACTTTACATTTATGTATTCTGGTTCCTAAAACACTGTTCTTACCATATATTTACTCAAATTTATGAACTGCAGGAATCCTTTGTGTGAATGACACTTGCACTAAATAAGTGTGTACTCTTTAGAGCCTTCTTAAATCTCAGCATCAATCAAATGCACTGTTACACTTTTTATTACAGTAAATGCTCTTGCTTTAAACATGGGTTTTCAGCCTTAACTGGATTGTTCCTTCTGCTCTGTGACTGTCTGTAAAGATACCACACGAGGATGCTTCTGTCTAATTTTTCCTTAAAAAAGAAAACTTTATAAATCTGAGCTTTGCTATCATTTGAATGGCTGAGATTTTTATTGGATTATTAACATACTTTGGGGGAATAATTTTTTAATTTACTTTAGCAAAAGACGTTTTTTGGTGTATTTCAGAAGTAACCTAAGCTCTACTTAAGTATTTATCTAATGCATGGAGTTTGACTACTGCATGAAGTCACCTCATGACATAAAATAAGGGTGACATGAGACCACCTTGAGCTGAGAGCAAGTATTTCAGGGCTGGTAAAATTAAAAAGTTACTACTGATGAAAACTTTTTTTTCAGTTTAAGAAAGAAATAAGGTAGAATGTTTCATGTATGTTAAGTAATTAGTTGTGAATAGAAACATTCGTTGTGGCTTTTAAATTTGAAATTTGTTGAGCATGCTCAGGCATTAAGAAAGAGCTTTCTTCCACCTGATGGGAAGAATGGAGGGGGGTTAAAAGCTGTCATATGATTTATAAAGAGGGGATAATCAGATTTCATCTTGACTACAGGAGCTCTTTCACCTGTGGCCATGAGTTTTATCATGGGAAGTACTCAATGAAGTTTTTTAAATTGGGTTCACCAATGCTCTGTGGAGCTGTAAATTATGCCTTTTGACAGATGAATTTTTATCTAATGCATGGAGTTTGACTATTGTGTGAAGTCACCTCATGACATAAAATAAGGGTGACATGAGACCACCTTGAGCTGAGAGCAAGTATTTCAGGGCTGGTAAAATTAAAAAGTTACTACTGATGATAGCACCAACACCGTGGAATATGGAATACATGTACTAATCTTTTACTTTGCCACTTCTATATTTCTGATGAAATATACACAGTTCCCTGGGCAGCTTTCTGATTTCTGCTTCTACTGAAGAAGTGAGGTGAAAATTCCTAATAATATTGTAAGACTTGAATTTAGGATTATATACATAACTACTTATTGTAGTGAAGAAAAAGATTTAATTTGAAAAATGTGATTATTTTTTTTCAACTTGAGTGCTTCCCTAACCCCCTCCAAAGGTTTTAATACCTCTTAATATCTAATTCTAGTTAGCCAACTGTGTTCATTTATTCTCATATAGAAAATGAGGTTAAATAATTCTAGAAACTGTGGGATAAATGTGTCAGAAACTGTTTCAAGTATTAAATATCAAGGCTTTTTAATAATCTGAATGTTTTTTTTTTTTTAAGAAAATAAAGTCCAGCATCAGGAGCTGAGGATACCAGAGCTGAGGAGCCAGGAAAGTCAACAGCAACAATTTAGTGCTGGTGAAGGCTACAGAAAGCAGTTGGAACAGATTAAACTAAACTGTGTTAGTGCCAGAAAAAAATGGCCAGTTCAAGAAGTGCCCCAGAAAAGCTGCTACAGAGAGGTAAAGTAAGAGGACTATGCAGTGGTTTTCTAGCTGCAGCAGCTCTCATATGTTGAAGAAGTGATTTGTGTTCATAATTCATAAATGTGGCTCTTTGTGTGGAATATTATCTTGCTTTGCCCTCCGTAGGTAAAACGATCAAGCCTTGAACAGCCTGGTCCTCCTGTTTCAAAAGGATTATCCCCACCAGATGCTGTCTCCAAGAAGAGTGATCCATCATATCTCTGTGGAACACCAAGCACCACCAGTAATGATTACATGGACTGGTAAGGCACTGCTTTGAGCCAAACACTAACGAATGGCAGTTGATGCCTGGAAAGATTTTTAGCAGCTTTTAATGGGGTTTCTTAAGCTTTTCTGTTCAGAGAGCAAACAAGATTTCTGGGTGCTTCCAACACTTGACATCAAGTGCCTGACTTCAAGATTCAGATTGCATTTGGGGAACTTTGTCTTCCCTGGCAGCTTTTCAGCCTTTGGAAATACACCATCAAATCAATAAGTCCTTATTCTAGAGCATTTACCTGTTTCTCTGGTCGCTGCTACGTGACAATTTCTTTTGGATGACTTGTGTTTTTGTGGCTCACAAGCTTTTTAGATTGATAACAGTGTATCAGCCTGGTTCCTGTGATGCAAATATAATTTAAAAAAAAAAAGTGTAAGGAATCTAAAGGCTTGCAGAATCCAGCACTCAAATTAGGAAACATCAGCATTTGTTTATCCCTGCAATCATAAATTAGGCATAAATCCCTGTGCCTATATTGATAAGTCTTTCTAATTATATGATTACTTAGGATTTTCCTAAGTCTCTAGGATGAATCATGTAGGTCAAGGCTGTGTGATGAGTAAGCACTGTTCCTGTTGGCAGGATCTCTGTCTCTGTAGCTCTAGAACTTAGAATACATGGAGTGAATGAAGCACATCATCTCATGATGGAACTTCATAAATGAAGTCATCCTTGGATAGATTCTGTTCTTGCTTCCTTCAAACTTCTTTAAAAATTAAATTCTCATTACACACAATATGTATGGCACGTGGTAAATATGCGGAATTGTAGAGTGCTTTTGTGTTCAGTGAGAAGATTGATTTTGACTCATTTTGACTGTTTTCTTCAAACTTTTGTCATTTTATTCTCCACAAAAAAAGTCCTAGTGATATAAATTTTTTCCAGTTCTGATCTTTGCATCAGTTTCTATAAATACTGTGGGAAATAGGTATATTTGGTGGTGGAAAAGTCCTAGTGATATTTTTCCAGTTCTGATCTTTGCATCAGTTTCTATAAATACTGTGGAAAATAGGTATATTTGGTGGTGGAACTAAATATATTGTAGACACATGAAATAAAAAAAATAAATAAATTATTTCTTGCAATCTTCAGTCTTAAATACATGATCTTTCCTCTCATACAGTGTAGCTAAAGCTCTCAAAACCCCTCTCGTGACTGCCTTGAAATTATTTGCCTCGGTACACTCACTTAAAATTAAAAAAAGTCTCTCTTCATCTAAAATGGTTTTGAATATAGAACAATAAGCTGAAAAAAACTGTGGCTGTCCTGCTGTCTTATGGTCAGCTCTTCTAGTTCTATGGTTCTTTCATTTTCCAGTTTGTGAGGACAGCCAGCCAGTATCTGAAGATGGAGATTTGATTAGTTACTGTTTTAAGAAATACTTCCCAAGTGTGTTACAGTTTAAACATACTCTAAAGGACTGCTAAGCCAAGAAGCTGAACCAGTCTTGATGATAATTATGGAATTAGCAGAGGCTTTTGCTACTCAATAGGGTTTAACTTTCAAGAAACAATGAAGACTCAAACTTGGTTGTTATAATAGTCTTAAAAAAAAATCTACAACTAAATGCAACTATTCATAATTTCCTTTAGTTTCAGAACGCCGGTTGTAAAGAACAACTTCCTACCAGGATGTCACATTTCTACTCCCTACAGCCAGCTCCCATATTTCCAATCTCACACTCCAGTAACTCCATTTCAAAATCAAGATGGTTTGCAGGTATGACTTTAGGCTGTCTTCTGCCATTTTTCAGTACATGTTTTCATTGGAGACTACTTTAGGTTAAATATATGCACGTATGTATATATATTTTTTTAATCTAAAGTTGCTATTCACCTTTCTGGATGAATGTAATCTGGATTGCTTATTCTCAAAATAACTGTTTTCTCATATGTATGTCTGAATTTAGGTAAAATAAGTCAACTCTTGAAAAATCAGTTCAGTTGTCTAAATCCTGAAACCTTGATCTCTGAAATCTAAGCCTTTTCAGAAATAGTTCATGATAGAGGCAAGGTCACTATTCTCTTTCTGCTGTATTTTCATAGTGGTACTACCACCCTTTTTTTTATTTCCAGTGTGAAAAGCATTGATATCTGTTATGAGTTCAGTGCCATGCCAAGTCATGATCATTATACAAATACTTTTGCTATAGAGATCTTTAGCTTTCAAGACAAATCTATTTAAAATTTAGCTTTACTGTACTTCATGCTGTTTAGAAAGACCAAGACAACTTCAAGCAGAGTTCTACCAAGCTCTGCTGCAAGTATAGTTATTTTCTTAACTTCCACAATAGTTATTTTTCTTAACTTCTTCTGTATGTTCACAGGTTCCAGTTGCTATCCCTTCACATGAATGTCTTGCCATCAAAGGAAAAGTTTATACAATATTAAAGCAAATAGGAAGTGGAGGCTCAAGTAAGGTGAGATGCTCTTTTATCCTTTTAGACAGTCACTCATTTACACACTGGTAGCTGTGTTATAAACATAGATGATGACATTGTCTAATAAGGACTGCCTTTTATTAACATTTACAAAGGGTTTGAGTTACCCAGAGCATCTAGAAATTTGTTGTTTTAATGCTTAGACTATCCCTTAGACATTCAGAAGAAAGGTAACGCACGGATTAGATGTGGTACAATTCTGTTTTATCTGAGTCTTCAGATGGTCTGAAATAACACCTGAATTAATGTATTATTATAAAAATGATGCTTCAATTATTACAGGTTGTTAAGCACAGTCCTGTTGATTTTGGTGGAGAAATAAAGTAAAAGCAGCGGGTAGATAAAGAGGGGGTGTGTGTTGAAGTAAAGAGTAAACAGTGAACAGAAACTCTGAAGAGATGTGATCAGAACACTGCCAGAAACTATGGAAATAGGAAAAAGCAATCACTCAACTTTTCAAAGCATCTAGAAATCTCACTTAAATCAGTGAACATCCTTTATCTTAGGAACACTTCAAGACTTATGATCGCATACACCTAGTGAAACGTAATGTGGTACCAAGATGGCTTCTGATAGAGGGTTGTTTCTGTTGGAACTGGTGCCTTTCTTATTTTTTCTTCATGCTGACTTGTAGGAACTTCTTTGTAAATTTAGTGTGGGTGCTTCCTTTTGAAAAAGTAGACTTTTTCTTTGAGATTCTCACTGTGGTGAGTTGAAGGACCGTAGTGAGTGAGAACTTGGATTGAATGAAGTTATAAACCGATACTGTTTTGCAGGTGTTTCAAGTGCTGAATGAGAAGAAGCAGCTCTACGCTGTCAAATATGTGAATTTAGAGGAAGCTGATCAACAGACTGTTGAGAGCTACAAGAATGAAATAGCTCATTTGAGCAAACTGCAGCAGCACAGTGATAAGATCATCCGCCTTTATGGCTAGTGAGTAAACCCTAATCTTATTACACCAGCATCATTTCCTGTAAAGAAGTTGCCTTAAATTTTAACACAAGTATATTTATTTTCTAGTGAAATTACTGATCATCATATCTACATGGTGATGGAGTGTGGAAACATTGATCTCAACAGCTGGCTCAAGAAGAAAAAACACATCGATCCATTGGAACGGAAGAGCTATTGGAAAAATATGCTGGAAGCTGTTCACACAATCCATGAATATGGTATAGTTAAATAATTCTAGGTATTTGTATGGGTTATATCACAGAGATAATAAGAATGTGTTAAAATTTTGGAAGTGGCTCTTAGTTTTGGTGTAAGCCCAGTGATCTTCACAATACAGTATGTACTGTATGGTGAAAAAAATGCATGCTTCTGTATTCTCTTTGGAGTAATGTGAAGGAGAGAGCAGATCTGGATCCTTCTATTTAAGAAAAAAAGTGAAGAGTCCTTTACATACAGCAGAGCTCATCACCTTTACAGCACAAGAACACTAGAAAATTTAAAAATAAAGACAGCAAAACCTACTAAAACGCAGGCTACGTACTATGTGATGTGTTCTTGAAACAAACAATTTTGCAAAATATAAAGATGGATTGGTTGATTATGTGGATAATAACCAAAATTCATAATAAATCATGTAGGTAGGGCTTGTGAGAGGTCAGTCATATGTAATCCTCAGTGAATGGTACCTTTGAGATAAGTAATTTGTTGAACTATAAACTCAAGCAAGTCTTTACTATTTAAAAAGAAATGGAACTGCTTTTATGAAATCTGCAAAGAATAATTTGATTTCAATTGGGTAAAGCTGATCTGCACCTTCTCTCTGTGCTAGGGTTGTGGGAATTAAGCAATAAAAAAGCCCATTAGAAGTAACTTGGATTGACTTTAAACTCTGTTTTACAGGCATTATTCACAGCGATCTGAAACATGTTGAACTATAAACTCAAGCAAGTCTTAACTATTTAAAAAGAAATGGAACTGCTTTCATGAAATCTGCAAAGAGTAATTTGATTACTGTTGGGTAAAGCTGATCTGCACCTTCTCTGTCCTAAGGTTGTGGGAATTAAGCAATAAAAAACCCCATTAGAAGTAACTTCGATTGACTTTAAACTCTGATTTACAGGCATTATTCACAGCGATCTGAAACCAGCAAACTTTCTGATAGTGGATGGGATGTTAAAACTAATTGACTTTGGGATTGCAAACCAAATGCAGCCAGATGTGACAAGCATCATTAAAGATTCTCAGGTGAAATGCTTCTGGAAAATCCATGTACACTCTTCAGGAAAGCACTATAGTACTTGCTGATTATGTTAATTAATGTTAATTCAATGACTGCTGCATGGGTTTATATGTATATATAAATATTACTATATATGAATTTTTACATGTTTTTATAGAATGGAATAACAATGGCCTTCAGCCTTAATAGAAACAAATTTTCAAGATGCTTTTCAGTGCTTTGAGGCAAAAATCTAATGTTTTATCAAGTGAGTTAAATTAAGTGCATGCTTCACTTAAAGAAATTTTTTAACTTTTTTTGGGTCTAGGTTGGCACAATGAATTATATGCCACCTGAAGCAATAAAAGATATGTCTTCCTATGGAGAAAATGGGAAATCTCGATCTAAGGTAACATGATCTTTTTTTTCCTTCCCTTCATATTAAGAAGAAATTAATTCAGGCATATATCTTAAGACTTAATTTTCTCAAAATTCTCCACTGAAACTAGAACACAAGGAAATCTGTTGTGCCACAATGATGGTGGGCAGAGATTGAAAGTTAAGTTTATTCCTCTCAGCTACCTAAAAGTATTTTGCAGATGGTGTTTAGAAACATGTAAGTGCTTAATTAATGAGTGAAATTGAAACAGATGCACAGGCTTGGGCGTTGGAGGAGCTCATAATAATAATAATGATAACATCTAAGCTGATAATCATAGAATCACAGAATGGTTAGAGTTGGAAGGGACCTTAAAGATCATCCAGTTCCACCCCCTGCCCTGGGCAGGGACACCTCCCACCAGACCAGGTTGCTCCAAGCCCCATCCAGCCTGGCCTTGAACCCCTCCAGGGATGGGGCAGCCACAGCTTCTCGGGGCAACCTGGGCCAGGCTCTCACCACCCTCACAGCAAAGAATTTCTTCCCAAGATCTCATCTATATCTCATCTCTTTCAGTTTAAAACCTTTACCCCTCATTCTATCACTCCCCTCCCTGATCCAGAGTCCCTCCCCATCTCTCCAGGAGCCCCTTTAGGGACTGGAAGGGGCTCTAAGGTCTCCCCGGAGCCTTCTCTTCTCCAGGCTGAACATCTCTCTCAGCCTTTCCTCACAGCAGAGGGACTCCAGCCCTCGGAGCATCTTCGTGGCCTCCTTGGAAGCCATAATCATAAAAATATCTTAAAATCCATTTTTATGGAGCAATATAAACCAGTCTTCCTCTGTGGTGTTGGTGTGAATGGCACTGAACAGCAATATGGAGTACAGTGAAATACATGCAGACTTGACGTACCAGGCTGTACTGTTGACCAATGTTGCAAAAGTCTTTTGAGCATATTAAGGGTCCACCACACTCTGCATCTCTGACAAGTCCTCCTTTGCACTGAAATCACTCCAGGCTAGAGCTTTCAAGGGGTGTTTCTGGAAGGATCTTCCATGGAGCAAAGTGGTAGAATCATTCCTCACTCTTTTGGTTGCCCATTGTGCTGCTTATGTCCTTTTGTTTTAGTTTTGTTCTGCCAAAAATTAGTGGAGCTCTTGTGGTACTGCTGGCTGCTACACAGCTACATCTTAGCGTTCTGCATAAATAGCTGTGGCTTAGAAATCTTTTTCTGAAAGCAAGTTTTCTTGATAGAAACCATTTTTTACTGATATAAACCATTGTTAGAATGTTTGCTTAAACAAGATATCATGATGCTTTTGTCATTGTCATATTTTTGATTTCTTTTAAAGTGAGAGGCAGGTTATGCAAAAAATGAGTGATAACTAATAAAGTCTTCTAAAAGTTGATACAATAAAGTGTAATATTTTAGGGGACACATGTGCTCTGTTTCCCATTAATTCTTCTATGCTACGAAGTACTGGGTATTGTAGAACTTGTTATTACTTTGCCAGGCAATGGAATGTGAATGATGAGGGAAGTACTGAAGGAGAGCAATTTCACATTGGCAGTCAAGCTTCAATTCAGGGGTACATAGTTTTGTGGAAAGATATTAAAAAAAATAATATATATTTATACTATATAATTATCTGTATTCATATGAATGTGCATATACACACTGAAAGATTGTGACTGTGTTAAAAAAATATATATTTATACTATATAATTATCTATATTCATATGTATGTGCATATACACACTGAAAGATTGTGACTTTAACAGTTGAATGGAAGTATTACTATGTAGTGAAACACCCTCTTGTCTTTCTAAACACAGAATAGAATGCTTTAGAGATTTATTAAAGATGATACTTCTTTTTTTTATGGTTTTAAGATATTGCTTGCAAAACGCAGATTTGCTTTGGAGCTCAGTTCATCTAAGGAGAATTCTAACCCTTGTGCTGTGAGTCAGGGTCTCTGAGTGCCTCTTCCTCCACCTCCTTCCTCTTCCCCACTTCCCCAACTTCATGTGCTGAAGCACTTTTAAAAAAGCACATGAAGGACAAGTGGAAAATCCTCCTGTAAGGAACAGCCCAGGTGTGGTGGTTGAAATCTAGTTACTAAGATCTTTTATCCAATGTAAAATAGACACTGTGAAGTGAAATGACTGTAGAATTTTTATGACCAATTGACTGAAGGGACAGTTCCTTAAGTGAGAAGTAATCCTTTTTTTTGTTTTGTTTTTATACTAGATAAGTCCCAAAAGTGATGTATGGTCATTGGGATGCATTTTGTACTGTATGACATACGGAAGGACTCCGTTTCAACATATAACAAATCCAATTAATAAACTACATGCCATCGTTGATCCTAGTTATGAAATAGAATTCCCAGATATTGCTGAGAAGGATCTTCAGGATGTGCTAAAGGTAACTGTTCCCTAAGATTAGTTTTGATTTAAATAATGGCAATTTATTTAAAGCATATTTTCTTAAACTTAATGAGTTGTGCTTGATTAAAGTTTTTTCACAAATAAAGGCTCACTGCTGCTGGTAAGAACAAGCTTTATTCCAAAAGACTTAATGAAACTGGAGCTGCTTCATCTAGTTTCCATAGGAAAAGTCTTATTTTCAGCTCAGTAGCTAAAAAACAAGTAAATACTTGAAGCAGTTTGGCTTAACAGGAAATAGAGTAGTTGTTGTACTCGCCATCCCTTTCCCCACCCTGAGTATTTGCTTTTGGAACTTGGTCTGTACTTTCACTTGAGCCCTAATTATGTTGCTCGGCAGGTGACAAACTGAAATCGAGAAACAGCCCTTAACTTTCAAATCTCGGTGTCATTTTGTGTCAGAATAAAAGGATATTTGTAGGTTTTGGTCTTTACCTCTTCCCACGCTGTTGCAGCAAAACAGGCCACCAAACTTTACTCTGAGGATAATTGCTAATGAAGGTAACTAGGTTAATCTGTTATTGTATTGCGAGTTGAGTCTTTCTGAGCACATAGTTCTGCAGTAAGAAGTTCTGACATGCATCTACGGGGTGTTTTGAAGATCCTCACTCTTAATTCTTAGGAAAGTTCTTAACGTATTTCAAATTAAATCTTAATTCTTTTGCAGCGCTGTTTAATAAGAAATCCTAAACAAAGAATATCTGTTTCGGAGTTGCTGGTACATCCCTATGTTCAAATTCAAAGTCATTGTCAAACAGGTACGTGTTTATTTAAAAATACATTTATATTGAATAGTATTTATAATTCTGTTTAAGAAAACAAAACGCTTTACTCTTGTATGTATTTTCCACTTGCTGGTGTAACCATTTTGTTTGGTCCCTGCATATTTTTCAGAAAATAATTCTGTATTTTAATTCTTAAACTCCTTACAAACTGCCCTAGTAACTTACACATGTATCAATTACCTGCAGGTGTCCCAAATGCAAAGGGAACAACAGAGGAAATGAAGCGGATCCTTGGCCAACTGGTTGGCTTGAATTCTCCCAACTCTATTTCTAGAGCTGCTCGGGTAAGTACACTTTCTTTTCTCTTTAGTATGGTAGCACGTGTTCATGCAAAGAAAGATTAGTGTTTGGTGGTGAAAGCTGAAAGGATACATAAATCAAGGCTTTAACCACAGCTGGAAAAACATTACGCATTGTAGGTCTTCTAATTTAAGAACCATCATTATGGAGAAATGATCTAAATCATTCTGTCAAGTGTGCGAGCTCTTGGACTGCAACTGTTCTTCCTTCCTGGAAGTTGTTGAGCTGTTAATGCCTCACTGTGTGTAAATTAGGCCCTCTGTGATGAGGTGTTAAGATTCCAGCCTCTTGCTTTGCTGCCTGAAAGAGAAGCTGGATGACTTCACCAGCTTGGTTCTTTCCACCTGTCTCTGGGAAGAGGTGATGGTGGTCAAATATATAATAAGTTGAGATGGAACACAAAGCTGCTTTCATGGGAGGAAAGCAAATTCAGTACACATGACATAAATCTAAACAAGTTTATTTACATTTACACTGCTAGCCATATCTGATTTTTTTAAAATATGGGGGTGAAGGAGAACTTATCTTGTGATGTGACTGTTTGTGTCCACTGATATTCCTTTCTCACCCCCAGTATGTAAATACATCTCTCCTTCCATGGTGCTTCCACATCAGAGACGATTAATGGAGTAAACTTGATTTTTAAATCTCAGTAATGAGTTTGTTCTCTGCCAGCTGTGAAGCTCTATCCCTGTGCTCAAGCTGCTAAATCAGTGAGTGTGTCTTCTTTTAGGCACTACGCACTAAGTCAGTGAGTGTGTCTTCTTTTAGGCACTACGTTGCGTTACAGCTGGTGCAACTCGGTTGTCTGAAGTGTATCTTTATTTTCTGATTTGAGAGAGAAATTTTAGTGTGGAGTTTGGAATATTTCAGGCTCATTCAAGTTTGTTATAAAGATATAGTTTGGATCCATTACTCATTCAAGTCGTAACGTTTGTTATAAAGATATAGTTTGGATCCATTTGTGAAATAACTTTGTTCACCCAAATACCTGTGTTTATATTAACTTTCAGACTTTATACGAACAGTGCAACAGCGGTAAAAGTCTTGATGTATCAGCATTTGCAAAACTTGGAAGTCAAAAATCATGGACAACAAAGTGATGTACTACTGCTCAGGATGCAACACAGGTGTCTGCTCTGTTCCAAAAATATTTTTGTGCTGCTAGCTTTTAAAAGGACACTCAGCATAAAGTTCACATTTTAAAATGTTCTGTATGTCTTCCGATAATGCTTGCAGATCATAAAAAAATAATTCAGTGGAATGCTTTTTCACTGGGGGCTGTTTCTGTCTTTGCATGCCGTGTGGATTGAACAATAAAAATTGCTCTTTGGTGGTTATGGTTTTTGTTACTTAAAAAGCATTACTGTGTGTGGAGTACAAAAACTTGGATGAAAATCTTCAAGCTCTTTTATCCTTCTGAGGCTAAAACAAAAGAAGTTCCCAAAATGCCAACTGGTGTCTGTGAAAAACATGCAAATATCTCTTGAAATATCTCCTATGACAAGAACTTGATATTGTGCAGTTCTGTCCTTTGCCAAGAATGCCTTTTGTGTCCAGTTTTGATCAGAGCTAAGGAAATAAGGACTCTCTTTAAATGTCATCAGTTACAACTGGGGAGATACACGTAAATATCGCCCAGTTTTCGAGTGGCTCCTGTGGTTTAGTGATATGGTGGAAGCATCACTGCTGTTCTGAAGTTCTAGGAGTAAAATTGTTCTATTAAAAATGCTACTATAAATCCAGTATACTTTTTGAATTTCAAAATAATGAAAACCTGTCAAGGTTCATGATGGTCAGAAATCACTAATTTGGATTTTTAAAAGCGTCAATACTAACCACTCTTGACGTGCTGAATGTTGTAGCACTTTTTGATGTGATTGTTGGTGGATTGGTCAGGGTTTTATTTTGAGTTACGTTTATGGTGCAAGTGTAGGAATTTAAAATTTACTTAACATCATTGAAAGATATTTAAAACTATGAGAGATTATTTTAATTGTCTTCAGTTTCATGAGGGCTGCCGTGCTCTCCTCAGATACTTTCTAAAGCAGGAAGCTTGTCATATCTCTATGACCAAGCATTTTGAATTAGTCTGTTTTGTCTTTCCTGTATAATAGCCCTGCACATAAAGAGCCCAACTTCATTATTAAAGTGGCTCTTTCCTTGTTTATGAGGTAAGAGTCTGACATAATCCATCAGCGATGGAATAAGGTGAAGGTGGGTACTAGGAAAACTTTCCTGGATAATTTCTGCATGTCAGATTACTGAGTTCATGTTTTCTTATCTTCAGAAGAGCTGAAATATTTTTAAGTCTTCGTGATAGCTTTTGTATTTTAAGTTTAGAGAAATACTGGGAAAAGCTGTCCTAATGTAATGCTTCATAAAGGCCTGCAGTGAGGGAGGTGTCTTTCCTTGTATGCATATATTAAAATATTCACTCTTCCTTCCACTCTCAGTATTATTTTTTCCCTTCAGATTGCCTGGATTAACAAGATGTTGGTTTTTATCTTGGAACGTTAGGTTTCACTGATGTCCTACTACTGGTTGATTGCTCTAGCTGTCATTTCCATGACTCTTGAAAGATTTAGAGGATCACACTTCTGAGTGACATGGTGCTACTGGTTACCTGTTGAGCTGAACTGGGGTGCAAATCAGCTGCCTGGAAATTCTTTCTGCCTCCGTGGTGGAGGTGCACGTTCATGGCACTTCTGTCACCTGTATGTCAGCTGGCAGGTTGATTAGGTCACTGGTCTGGGGTGGGGTAGAGGGTTAAAAATGGTCATTCTTGCTGCTGAAGGTTTACTTAAGCCAACTGCTGCCTTGGGAAGATGCAGTTGGAGTCCAGAAGAGTCTTACAAATTGACAAGCGGCTGAATATGAGCCGGCCGTGTGCCCAGGTGGCCAAGAAAGCCAATGGCATCCTGGCTTGTATTAGAAATAGTGTGACCAGCAGAAGTAGGGAGGTGATTGTGCCCCTGTACTCAGCACTGGGGAGGCCACACCTCGAGTATTGTGTCCAGTTTTGGGCACCTCAATCCAAGAGAGATCTGGAGGTGCTGGAGCGAGTGCAGAGGAGGGCAACGGAGCTGGTGAAGGGTCTAGAAGACAAATCGTATGAAGAGCGGCTGAAGGAGCTGGGGCTGTTTAGTATGAGGAAGAGGAGGCTGAGGGGAGACCTCATCACTCTCTACAACTACTTGAAAGGACACTGTAGAGAGGTTGGTGCTGGTCTCTTCTCACAGGTAATTAGTGACAGAACGAGAGGGAACGGCTTCAAGCTCCAACAGGGGAGGTTTAGATTGAACATTAGGAAGGAATTTTTCACCGAAAGAGTGGTCGGGCATTGGAACAGGCTGCCCAGGGAGGGGGTGGAGTCACCATCCCTGGATGTGTTTAAGGGACGTTTAGATGCAGTGCTGAGGGACATGGTGTAGGGGAGGACTTTGTAGAGTAGGGGAGATGGTTGGACTCGATGATTCCAACCTCAATGATTCTATGATTCTATGACTTAGAGCATCACAAAACACTGGGTAGTTGTGTTTGATGTTCTGAGGATGTGGATGTTGTTCTTGAGAACTTTGACTCTATAAAAGAGGAATTCCCACTGCCTTTGCCCTGTGTTGGCAGGGTGAGGTACCTTCATCTCAGCTCTTCCTGCAGTGATGCAGAAGCAGGGAGGCAGCTGTACTCTGCCTGACTCTCAGGTAACCCTTTTCCACACGTGGACACAGAGCAGTAATAAGTAGATTTGTGGTATCACCCACAGCACTATCGTCGTGTCTCCATCTGAAGTTAATGGCACAGACAAGAGATAGCGAGTTGTAAATACCGATCTTAACAGCAATAGGGGAGGAAAGACTATTTCAATGTGTTCTTGCTATCTCTTCCTGCCATTGAGTTATCAGTTCTGATAACTTTATAGCCCTTTAAGTACAGAAGAATGAGAGAGAAGAGCAGCGCGCACTTTGATCGCAAACGATATGTGAAACTCAGGTGTTATAGCGTTTTCCCCAAAACTTAAATAGCTTTGATTTTTAAATGAGATTTTCAGAGTTTCTAATATAATAAAAGCATGGGTGAGAAGCTTTGTTCTTAACCCTTGATGGGTGGGAAGCTTTATTCTTAATTCTCTCATATTCAAAGCGGCAAAACAATTCTTCAATTAATTATAAAAAAATTCTTTAATGAAGAATAGTATTTCTGTAAGATTTTCAGAGTTTCTAATATAATAAAAGCATGGGTGGGAAGCTTTGTTCTTAATTCTCTCATATTCAAAGCGGCAAAACAATTCTTCAATTAATTATAAAAAAAATTCTTTAATGAAGAATAGTATTTCTGTAATTTTTATCAGGCCTCTGCTTAATGTCTATATCTCAAAACTCTGGCTCCTCACCACCTCCGTGTGCCAGTTGGGACTATCCTGCTGTGACAGAGCAAGAGCTTGTAAAGGAGTGTTAATTATTCTGGGGTGTGGTGTTCCTGTGTCTGTCCTGCCCTCCTTTGTTTCGGGATGGCAGTGATTCTCTGGGTTAGGCAGGGAGAGGGATGAGGAACCACTCCTGATCCCAGCCCTTCTGCCCTCAGCCTGGTGTGGCAGGAGGGGGCAGAGCAGCTGGGCTCCCCCCAGCCGTGGGGCACAGGCAGGAATCACACAAATTCCAGGCAAACCTGGAATTATAGACTTATTGTCATTACACGAAACAGATTGTGGAGTCTCACTCAGTCATCTGCAGGGAAGGGGGGGAGCTATTCCATATTTCTAGGGGAAAAAAGTTGAAGACTTGTTCCCTGTAACAGTCCTGTTCTTTCTGGGGTTTTTTTTGTTTTTTTTTTTTATTTATTATTTTTAATTAAACATTAGTACACCTGCAGAAGTTTAGTGGTATTTCAGGCATCATGAGCACATATTCTAATTGTACTTGGCTTGGCTGTTATATAAATGTTAAAGTTACAAAGCTGGAAGCTGCTGAAGGAAAAAGTGTTAGTTCTGCACCTTTTGTGTTCTAGACATTTTGGGAGATTAATGGCGTGGGAAGTGAAACCCTGTTTCTGGCTTTCTCTGGAGAGGGGGGAAAAGAACCATCAGCCTCGTCAGAGGAAAACTTGTGAAGAAAATCTTTTATTCTGCAGCAGCATCTTCTCAAAAAAAAGTTATTATTGAAATGTTTTCCAAGTACTTGTCTAGATTACAGATCTTGAAATATTTCTGCCTAATGATTCTAATGTTGTTAATTGTTAACTTTCGCTGGTTTGCTTCCCTGGTTGGTGCTGAATATGCAGAGACACCCTGCTACAAGCCTTATTTTTTGTTCTGTTGTAGTGTATGGTTTATGAATCCTTTCCCTCCTTCCATGACACCTAAAGAACCCACAAGGAATGGGCTCCTGGCACGAGAGGGAGCTTATGAAAGAGGACTGGGGCTGATGAGAGGCAGTGGGTTGTTATCAGTCATCCCTTTCAAATAAAAATCTTCCATTGTACAGGGGTAATTGATTTATTCTCCTTCCCTGCCTCAGTGAGATGCTACAAGGTGTTTGCCTGCCTTGGCAGCTGCCACTTACCAGCCCTCAGTCTGTTCCTACTGGATTTCTGTTTCACAGGTGACAGTTTCCCTTTTCAGACTTTGCTGGGATCTTAAAAGTGTGCGTGGAGTAAAAAATAAAAATAGCTATGGACGAGTAGCTTTAAAGGGCAGAAAATACCCGTCTTAGATGTTGGGTAACAGGGGTTGCTGCCAGAAGCTTTCTCAAGATTACAGAAGGTGTTACTGTCACCCTCAAGGCCACAGTTCAGAACATTGTGTCTGTATACAATGGGGAGAGGTGGTGACTGACTAAACCAGAGTGTGTCTGTTTGAAATCCCTGGTGCTGGATGTGTGGATAATGTGATATCAACCAACAGCCAGGCACCACAACGACTGGGAGAGTAGAAAAGTAAATGAGAACACTTCAGTGAGTTCCCTTTGGTAATTCTTGTTCAAAAAAGGGGTGTGGAAAGTTACAACCGTTAAATCTAATACTTTTATTCAGCAGGTAACACCAAGAAAAGCCTAGTGATGACTTTCTTTTATTTCTGGATGGGTATAGCATTGCTCAGTCTGAAGAGCTGTACGTATAGTTGGAATTCAAAGACTAAATGGAGTTTAAGTTTTGAAGGTTCTGCTCTCATAGTCTGTCTTGGCGTGCCAACACCCAGAATTGTCCTTGATAAATCTAAGAGAAGGAGGTTCTTCTCTTACCTAACTCGGGACACTTCTCCAAGGAGCAGGACAAGGCTGTCCCCATAGCCCTGGAGGAGTTGGAGCACTGCTTCTCATCGGGCTTTGAAGGCACTCTGAGC